GCTTTATTAGAACAGTATTTGTGGCAGTAAGCTGCTTTGAAAGTTTGCTTTATTTGAAAACTTTGGCTTAGATCGTTGAGGATACTGGTGGCAAGCATTACAAAGTAAAGTGTCCTAAAAATTTTGGGTTTTTACATGGATAACAGTAGTCATTGACTCTAAGCAGTATCGATATACTTTGACCTGGCTGCAGCAAAATTTGATATCGCTAAAAGTTAAGTCTTTGCCGGTCCTTGGTCGATTTTGATAGAGGGATTTTTTTAATCCTTGGAATAACTTTAACAGGTCTTCAAACAAGTTCTAACAGAGAGCCATCAATACTTGCAGAAATGGCCGCAGTTCAAAAGAGCAGAAAAAATGGAGAAGACAAAGATGAAAAACGGATTCACATTAACTTGCTGGCAAAAAATTAACTGACTGCTAAAATTTCTTATTCTTGTTTCTGAGGTATAAACCATAGTTCTCCTCTGTCTTATTTTATTTTTTCATCACTTCGCTTTAAAATACGAGTAAAATATATTTTTGTTTCTCGATAGAAGGCAAAGAATGAAAAGTGTTCAAGAAAGAGCTTTTTTATACAGCTGTCCTGATCAATGGAATCTTTATTACAAATAAAAATTGTTATCTGCCACATACTCAGTTCTAAGCGTTATTATCACCATAAGGCAAGCGATTATTTTGATGCTGCAGGACAGTAGTGACTAAAATCCAAATAAACTCATAAATAATTCAAGAAGTTTGTCGCTGTACTTTGTGAGATGACCATTTTTCATAAAAGGAAAGTCAAAAGTGGTAGACTCAACTTTAAAATCTTGCCACATTTATGGAACTTCTCGACTTCCCGATTGTTGAGGGAATATCACTTTTTTTTATCTATCCCGTGCCTCTTTCGGAACTGAAAATTTTAATGTTTTCAGTGCAGGAAAACTGTCTGCTACGCTGTTGGATTTCCCTCCTCTTCAAAAAAATAATTGCTTTTTAGCAAACCGTTGGTTGATACGATCATACTGCAGTCTCTAGGCAAGCAGTTTGATCAAAAAAAAACAGGAGAAGGTATTGAAAGACAATGTTTCTTGAGCTGTACTGTATTTGGTGCGCAACTTCTAGGATAATCTGATTTAACACTTAAGCTCGTGACACCTAATTGTCTTCATTTGTTGCTCGGGTATTACTTTGTTGGCGACGTTCCGTAACCCATTGAACAAATTTTTACTTCATTTTTGCTTCAATATTTTAAAGGCGTTACTGTTTTCAGTCTTTGTCTTTCTGGATGTAACATTTAATCTTTCATCATAAAAGTTTCAACTTCTTTATCTATCAGGCTGTGCTAATTACTGAGCTTAGTGATAAGGATTCTACTACTATTTATTACTTGCTCACGCCTTGGCTTTATTGTGTTTGCATTTTTGTAGATAGCCGCTGGGAAGTTCAGTTGCATTACCTAGTCTTCCATCTCAGCAACGACTTTTTAAACTTTATTTTCAAAAAATCAATCAAAGGTACTTTTGATCAAAAGGAAGTAAAATATTTCTCGTTTTAATTTTTTCCAGCTCTGAGTTCATTCCATAGAAAGACACTGCTTTACTGCGCTTTAACTATAGCCATATATCATATTGAGAAAATCAGTGCCATAGTTCTTTAATTTTAACCCGCTGGGATTTTTTCTTTCCGGTTATCAAGATCATACAGATTTGTTAGAAAGATCCGTCAGTAGAGACGGTATAGGTAGATGAAAGAGTTTTGTTGCAAAAATTGTCTTTCGCTTGAAAATTATCTCATCCATTGGTATTTTTCACGTTGACGAAACTTTTCTTGTCATCTCTAATAAACTTTATTGAAATGCCTTTTGCTGGATTTTTTCCCTAACAATTTGACGACATTCACGGTCTACTGAGAGAGGATTATGAACGATAACCGACAAATAAAACTTTACAAAATGAGTAAAAAGTTGCCACATTTATTTCTCTCCTAAATACCGTTAATCAGTGTTTTACAAGTGGGTATTTTTTATGCCTGTTCTACAACATTGACTAAGTTTTTACAACTAGACCAAAGGATTATCTAGATTTTGTCAACATCATTAAAATTTGTCAAAAAAAAAAACTCATTTTTTTCTTTACAGATCTAAATGGTACCAAATTACTAAATGTTTGCAGAACTTTATGGTTGATTTCACAAAAAAATTATTACTTATCTTGATGACGTGCTTCTAAGATTTATTTCTTAACGTAGAAACCTGTGTGATAACGCAAGAGTGAAGTAAAAAAAATTAGGTTTCTGCTTTGATACGCTTTCAGTTGTTTTAAATTATCAGTGTCGAAGCTGTAATCGTTTTTCAAGCTCTCGTAAAATAAACTGCATATCCCTTCTGCAGTTATCGCCTGGCTCTAGGCTTAGTAATTCTTTTATTTTGGGTCAAGAAATAAGTGTCACCCACTCATTCTCATAATTTTTAAGATTTTTCAAATACAATTTAGAGATTTCAATAGGATATAAATAGTAACTTGCTGGAATTCTTTTACTTATCGATTTGAAAGAAAATTCGAACTGAAAATGAAAAAAAAAAAAAAGTTGTGCTATGAAAATAAAGAAAAAGCAATCTTAAAACGATTTTTTAATACGGAGAATTGAGCGGAGTTCCTTTAACAGTTCTGTTTATTTTAAGTAAAACCATCTGCAGATACTGTGTAATCAATGGTAACTCTACCATTTCAAGGACCCACGGGATAATTTTTTTCAGTTAAAGCTACTACTTTCTTTCCTCGGATAATCGCATAAAATCTTGGAGGCCTGGCCTTCAAAAGTCTGTTAGAGTAGAAGGATCGATTGAAATGCGAAGAGAATACGTGATTTTGCAACTTTTACTCTATTATAATCCACAAAAGTAAAGGTTTGTTTAGGAAAAAGAATTCATTTTCAAGCGTCAGTTTCAGAACTTTGGGAAAAGTTAACAAAATTTCTTTCTATGATTTCTTTCTTGCTTAATTGAATTCCAAATATTGTTCAAGTTTCTTCGTCACTCGATACTAACCAGTCTATTTTCATCAAATTATTGTTATTATTGTGTGCAAACCGCCACTAAAAACTGCGTCACTGTCTGTTCAAATTTCTTTTTTCGTATTCAAGTGACCGTTGAATGAATAGTCGTCATTCGAAAAGAAGTTAAGCGTCAAGAATTTTTTTTATTTTATCTCTTTCTTCCTTCAAACCGATTATATTGATGTTTAATGGCAACAGTATTTAGTCTAAACGTCATTACTTTTTCTTTTTTTCTTTTCCTTCTTCTTTCATTTTTCTACCTCTTCTTATATCAACAGCATTCCAAATGATTCAACAGTCTACTTGGGTCTTATGCGTCTATGTATGATTATTTCTCACATCCTGGGTATTTCTATAAACTTTTCAGGCAAACGTGGACTAACCTTGACTGTTGTCAGAAACTGAAAATCTCTATAAAAGTTTTAAGTGACGCTGTAAAATATTCAAAGTTTGATTAGTTTGGGTACCAGGCAGTCAACACTTCTCGAACTGGTGATGTACACTATATGAGGCAGCTTAGACTGTTACTTGTTTCCGTCTTATCAGCCTGGAATAATCGAAAACTTCTTTTTACTACAGCGTTACGTTTAGTTTTTGGAATATTTATCGGGACACTTACTGGACTCTCATTACGTTTCGAATACGAATCTGAAGTTGCACCATTTGATCCTGGTTAGTGTCATTTAAAATTCTTTTTTTCATTTGCAGTAGTGATACAAACAAACCTTATAAGGCACTTTTTTCTGTTAAATTCCATTAGTTTGATTCATTAGTAGTTAGCACAGTACAGTAAAGCTGCTGTGGTTATTTTTATTGACAAGTAGCACCAAAAAGAGAGCTTAAAATTACCACTTGTTGACAGCAGTTGAACGGACATAACTTTATAGCTGCTATGTAAAACTAATTGAGAAAGAGCATTGTAAAACATGTAAAAACTACAGTGATTATAGCATATTAACAATATTAATAAAAATTAACATTTTCAGTTCAACTAAATTCACGATCAGAAGTACTTTTGAAGGCTTCAACAGATACAGTTGCTATTCGTTGTGCAGTTTTTATAGACAGAAAACAGGAAAAAAAGTCAAAATATGTTAATGCAGTACACGACACGTATACTCGACGTTGTAACTATACAGTGATATTCACTAACTCTAAAGACATTCAGAAGAAATTTGCTGGTAAGCTAATAGAAATAGGTTAAAAGATGCTAGAACAACCTCGTTCATTTTGTTCTGAAATTTAACTCCCGAAAAACGTTAGTCAAATAGATTTAATATCAGTTACAAAACGCCATCTTCGTGGGAGATTCAATAAACATGTCCAAATCTTTCGTCATTATATGTGTTGTTTTACATTTCCGCAGTAATTCTGCTAACAAACGGCACTGCTGTATTCTAGAAGACTTAAACGTAATCTACCTGAAAACATGGGATTCTGAGTACCACTGGGTTGTTTATCGACAGATGCTACGATATTTGTTACAGAATGACAAAACTTTAACAGACGAAAAAGAATTCGAGTGGACGATTGTTGGTAACGAGCAGTTGTACATTGTGGTGGAGAATTTAAGAAATTATCTACAGGACATAAGCGCTAGCAATAAGTTAATTTTGGGGAGCGTTGTTAACCGAAGGTTTTCATTCATAACTTTTTGTGGTTTTCGATTATTCTACTGTCTGATGCCAAATAATCAAAGCGAATATTGGTAACTTTGATACTGGTAATGCATTTTTTTTTTTGTTTCAGGACGTTATTGTCTTTAATATTCCCGTTCGGAATCTACAATGCAATTTCGATACAGGCTGGAACTGTTTTCTCGAAGGCTGCTTTAGCTGAAATTCAATCTGACGACTGTTCCGGGTGGTTTTTTCCTGCTGCCACCGAAAAAGCCATCGTCGAATGCGCGTCAAGAGTGGGTATTACCATTAAGGATCCACGAGATAAGGTTATTTTTTTGTTGTAGTGGCTTATTATATGATACTGGTATTGGCTAAGAAGATCCAGATAGGTAATGGGTAGTAAAGGAAGTACTAGTCTTAACTTTTAATAATTCCTCGTGTCACCTAATAAGTTATTACGTAAGGTATTCTACTAAAAGCAATATATTGCTTGTGAAAGCTGGGCTTAAAAAATGAAAAGTTTAAGATACTCCTGTTTATAGGAGGGTATGCACTTGCTGCATTCGGAAAATATAAGGAACCTGATGAACTCTCTACGGTCAACACTTTCAGAAAAGGTTTGTTTAATATTTCTTTACCTGCTATGTTCAGAAAAAAAAGAAATAAACGCTAGTGATCCACTTACCACTTAAAAGAAAATAAATTTAAATCTTAGCAACGCCTTGCGTTCTTTCAGTATATGCTTTTAATTTTGAGTCGTCTAATATTTTTCCAAACTCATGTCCAAATGAAGCAAAAGCGTATTCTAGAAGTCAACTGTTAAAGTAGATTGTTGCGCAGACGGTGCAATATCATTCGGTAACTTGAACTACAAAGATATTCGTTTACTGGAGTATACCGTCAATAAAGTGAAAGTTTTTGGACTATATCCATCCCTGGCTTTACGTAACAGATCAACACCAAATAGCCACCGCCTGACAACTTGAAAGTGCCCGTTTTTTGATCTTTTATAAGATACTCAATTTACTGTGCAGTTACTTACCAGCAAACTTAGTCTTTCATAGGTTTTTTTTGTAGCCAATAACTCAAGTATGATTTAAATGACTGTATGTACCTCATAAATTCTAAATAGGAAATCGCTTCTGTAAACAGCCAATAAAGTGTGCCTTAACGCGTTTTAATGTTTAGACACAATCAGTGTATCATACGCCAAAGCCACTTGATTGATTTCAGGGACCACAAGTAAAATATCTACTTTCTGTTGCATTTTCAGAGCATATTCCATCCAAATTTTCCAGTGCTCCGTCTCATCCATCTGCAACTTCCTGTGTGTAAGCAAACACAAAAAATTAGTTTTGTGGGGACTTCGACCAACAACATGAACTTGTAAAAAGCTAGTACTTTTGGACAATTATTAAGTGAACTTAACGCAAGGTGCAGTTGAGAAATAAAGCACTGAAGACGAATCTTCATGGGTAAAAAATCTGCCGAAAAGTACTAGTTGGGAAACTGCCGAAGTAAACACTGAGAACTGGGTCAAAATGACTTCAATTTTTACCAAAACCGACAGGATTCTTCAGGAAAGTTTGCCAAAAAGTTCGAGTCGCTGCTCTTTGCAGCAAAATGACCCGTCTCAGGGTCGAGCCAAAAACAACCTGTTGCACTCACAAACTCGGCAGCTTCACTAAAGCTCCCAAACCTCATCATCTGAAACGAACAAGCAATCTCGAATCCTACCAAGCTATGCAGTACTGTTTCAGCCCCAAGCCAACTAATGTTAACCGTCGTCACCAAAAAACATCGACCGAGCTAATCTTTGTAGAAACTGTGGTCGTAACAACAAGGCACTCAGGTTTCATTCAGCAGTCATGCCCTGTTAAGATAAGACGCCAACACACCCCACTTCTTTAATTGAGAAATAGCCAAAGCCTTGACGTAAAAACCACTTTGCACACCTCAAACTCCTCTACACCTTTTAAAGCGGTAGCCATCCAATATTAAAGAAACAAGATAGCAAATATGTTGAAAACATCCAAAGCCCCCTTCTTCTTTGCTTTTTTTCATTGAATCAAAACCATTCCAGCTGCAGTATAATCGTCTGCTCAAATTAATCTACAAAAAAGAATTTTAATTACTACTGGCTTTATTTCCTTTACAATCTATTCAAACTAACGAAGATTGAGCAATCTGAGATCACGAGCAACAAATGACTATCATAATAATACCAGCACGGATATAGCAAAAATGCCACTAATTCAACAGAGAGACTGAATTTTTCACCTTCCGAGTCGGCAGCCCAACATAAGTCCAAGACAAGCTTATTAATTAGAAGATTTTGAAAGAGAACAATAGGGCACCTACTCCGAAGGAATGGAAAATCTTTTGCATTCATTTGCAAGCAACGAATTCAGCTCTTAAAACAAACAATAAATTAAATAAACGCATATACGTATATATATACACCTATGTATAAACTACATTAATTTAATAAAATAGTGGTGTGAAACCAGTTCAGTTTAGAAATCATGTCAGTACATTATCGAAGTAGAGATCACCAATGAAGTTAAAGCTGTAAAGCGATGAATAGTTGCTCAAGGGCAAATTTAAGAGCGCAGTCTAATGCGGACAAAGCGGCCTAAAATTTGCTCTTATGACCTCTGTTTCATATAGCAAATTCTGTTTTATAAAGCAAGAAACCATATTTTCAACTTAATCAATGAAATTAAACACACAAATACCTTCGAAGATCCCAAATCTAAATTTTGATGTATCTGATAAGCACATGTAGCCAAGTTTTGCAGTGACAAATTAAAAACACTGCTTAGCCGCTGTGTTGTGCGTAGGGAGATTATAATATATGAGCATAAAATAAGTGCATTCACATCCCTGTCACTGCTGCTCACATTTGCTTGTGAATAGAGACCCTCCTTTAAAAAAAAAAAGAAAAACAAAAGTAACTAGACACATGAGTAATGCGGAATAAAAATCAGGTTTTTCATGTCTTCAATTTCAACAAACCTTTCCCGAAAAAAAAGAGAGCGATTGCGAAAGAAAGTTCAGGGCATAATCAGTTTTTTCAGGAAACAGCGAAACATCAGCAATAGTATACAACGAAACAAATGAAGAAACGGCAGTCTTCAGTGGCGGCAATACCTAAAACAAAACGAAAGAAGAGTTGAAAAAAATTCGTTTATAAAGCTTACCTCCTTCCTTTCCACATCAACGCCATGAACAATATTTAAAACTTCCTCCTTCTTTCGAGAGAGCATCGAGTGAAAGCGCTCGGTATCAACAACACTCAAACTTAATAACTGACTAGCCGATGACTTCCAAAGAGATTTGAATATTGCCAAATAATCTTGCTTAAAATAGATAAGTGAAAAAATGCAATTGTGAGTCACTCTTCGGGAACTCAGCAGTAACTTTTGAAACACGGTGTAAAAGGAGAACTTGAAAGGTCGGGAAAAAATTCCAAAAGCCAACCTTAGAACTTAAGTGAACTGAAATTAAGTCGCAAAATAACTTGTCATCTTCCTTTGTCTCATAAAAGAAATCTTTAATAAAATCAGGGACAAATTTCGAAGCAAGACACAGCAAAGGAACAACTGACTCGGAAGGATGGGAGCTAATGGTATATCTTAAAAGTTCCATTAGCAAGGTCTTCACTTCTGAAAGAGTGTCTACACTCTCGCTGTCCTAAAAAATTATCTCCTCCAGGAACAAAGATGAAAGGATGGCACAAACCAGCAACCCAACAACACAAAAAAAACAGCTTTCGCGCCATATAAACAATAGACAGAATTTGGTGATCAAATAAGGACCATTCGAAAATCATTTGAAAAATTTTAAGGAATTTATATAGGTGAAATAAAGTAATTTACTAAGTTTTTTCTCAGCTGGCTAAACGCAAACATCATGAGATTTTTTTTAATCAAGCACTCACCATCGAAAGTGCGCTTGCGGTCAGGATAAGACAACAACCAACGTTTAGGTGTCTACTAGCAACAAACACTTGATTGCACCGAACAAAAGAAATGCATAATTGCCTGAAATTAAAATTTTTTCAAACTATTACAAATGATTATCAGACCACTGACTATAACCTAAAGCTCAACCTAAATCTCAAAAAAAAAGTAAATGAAGTCGCGTTAAACAACCTATAAAATTCAACACCAAGATCTTTCCACTGGTTCTCTGCACACAGCTGATTTATCAATTCAACCAAATTTCCAGCTAGACTCTTTCCTTTCTGAATCAACGTAATCAGTGACTGCCACGGGACTTTTCCAATGTTTACATCATTCGCATACTGTAACAGTATTAATGTATCAGAAGACGAGTGCTCATCAACTTTAACAGCAAAATAGTGGGAGACTGAGAATAAACCACACAGTATCCTAAGCCTAGTAGCTATACCATTTGAGATTAGTGAAAATGCGTTTACCTTTACTAAATAGGCTGCCAAATTAACACTGTTGAGTTCCTTTATACCTTGTGCTTCTTGAAATTTGATCAATATATCTTCTAAGCGTACTTTTTTAACTAAGAAATCATCAAGTAGAGAAAGAACTGCAGTTTCAATGTTCTTTACATCCGGTTGTGCCTGAACAAAATTATTTTGAAAAATACAAAAAATTTTAACAAATAATTTTAAAAACTTTTATATAAACCTGAAAAGAAAACTCATGGCAAAAAATTTCAATATAAAGACAGCTTTGAAGAAATAGGAAGACAACACTTCGGTATGCATACAATGAAAAACTTGCTTTAGCTTTCTGCTTCCCCTTTAAAGACAGCGGTTGAACAAACTCACTAATCCGCGAGAGTTTTACTGTGTCACAGTCCTGTGACTTGTTGGCTCCCAGTCTTCCCACACACAAACTTCCTCGAGTTCTTTTTGGGACCTTCGTTTTCGAGACTGATACTGAATTAAATACTACTTGAATTTTACACTAGAGCAGCTATAACATATAGTAAAACTTCAGCAACAGAAAATGAAAATTTTCGGAAAAAAAATATACTTTACATATTTACCTGACTTCGGATTTCCATTAGACCTCCTTCCTAAAGTCCTGACATCTCTCCTTATTTTAGTGGAAAGAGAACCTCCCCTTCCCAACCGTCCTGTTCCTTTCAACAATCCGCCAGAAGCCGTAGATGGACATCTGTTAGCCAAATCAGTAATTTTTTCAGTGCCAGATTCATCACAAACCTTCTTGTTCAACCGCGCATCTCCGCCAACCAGTGCTTTTATCGCATCGCTTCCCTTCTTCCTGATGTCCAAAATAGAGTCACATTCTTT